TAAAGAAAGGTTCCCTTTTCCGAAAACTCGACATTTTTTTGCGAAAAATGTCCAAAAACCGAGGGATTCTTTGAAACATAGACGGACCAGAACCCGAAGATGTTGCTTTGGCAATGACAACTGCACTACTGACAGGAATTCAACCAAAYGATAAAGAAAACTTTCCTTTTCCCAAAACTTGACATTTTTGCTGATGCAACTTTGACAGAAACAGCTCGACTACCGATGCGAATTGGACGTATGGCAACGTTGCTTACTCAAAACATTTTAAAAAATCCGGCTTTCTAGCTCTAAATCAGGGCTTTTAAAAAATATAAAGAAGTCGTTCCAGGAAATTTGATCAATTTTTTTTCTTTTTCAAAAACGATATTAATCAATCCCTGCAGAACTTTAAATTAAAATAGAAAAATGTTATTTACCATAAAGCTTATTTTTGCATCCACTTCCGTGGCCGCAAATCGCTGGTTGTTAGTCCAAACCCTGGAGAAAACTTTGAAAAGTTCTGAACAGTTCAAATAAATACTGAGAGCAAACACCCTTCCTCAATTTTCAGATGAAAAGCTCTCCTTAATCTGACAGCAAACGTCAAGCACTTGGAAAAATCGCGTTTATTTAAACAGAATCGCACCTACAGCCGCGAAAATGCCACCAGACGATAAAGAAAAGTATCCTTTTCCGAAAACTTAACATTGTTTTGAGAAAATCTGCCAAACACCGACGTTTTTTTTGAAATATAGACGGAGCAAAACGCGAAGATGTTGCTTTGACCGTCACTGGCAAAGCTCTCGTTAACCTGGCAGCAAACGTCAGAACATAAGCACATTGAAAAATCACGTTTATTTCAACAAAATCGCACTTACAACCGCGATAATACAACCAATCGATAAAGAAAGGTTCCCTTTTCCAAAAACTCGACATTTTTTTTGCGAAAAATGTCCAAAAACCGAGGGATTCTTTGAAGCATAGACGGACCAGAACAAGAAGATGTTGCTTTGACAATGACAAATGCACTTCTGACAGGAATTCAACCAAACGATAAAGGAAACTTTCCTTTCCCCAAAACCTGACTTTTTTTGCGAACAACTGCTGATGCAACTTTGACAGTAACAGCTCGACTACTGATGCGAATTGGACGTATGGCAACGTTGCTTACTCAAAACATTTTAAAAATCCGGCTTTCTTGCTATAAATCAGRGCTTTTAAAAAATATAAAGAAATCGTTCCAGGAAATTTGATCAAATTTTTTGCATATTCAAAAACGATATTAATCAATCCCTGCAGAACTTTAAATTAAAATAGAAAAATGTTATTTACCATAAAGCTTATTTTTACATCCACGGCCGCAAATCGCTGGTTGTTAGTCCAAACCCTGGAGAAAACTTTGAAAAGTTCTGAACAGTCCAAATAAATACTGAGAGTAAACATCTTTCTTCAATTTTCAGACGAAAAGCCCTCCTTAATCTGACAGCAAACGTCAAGCACTTTAAAAAATCGCGTTTATTTAAACAAAATCGCACCTACAGCCGCGAAAATACCACCAGACGATAAAGAAAAGTCTCCTTGTCCGAAAACTTAACATTGTTTTGAGAAAATCTGCCAAACACCGACCTTTTTTTTAAATATAGACGGAGAAAAACGCGAAGATGTTGCTTTGACAGTGACAATTCGACTACTGATGCATATTGGACGTGTGGGGGCTCTGTTAAATCAGGTTTTTTTTTAAATAAAGCTTGATTCATACAGGAAATTTCACCAAATCTTTTGATTTTTCAAAAACCATATTAATCAAGTCCTGCAGAAATTATTAAACAAAAAAAAAATATTTACCATAGAGCTTCAATGGTGGGAATCCCTGGGTGTCAGTCCATTCAAGGTTGCAAACAGCTCAAAACCCCGAAGAAAACTTCGAAAAGTCCTGAACAGTTCAAAAACACATCTTCCTTTAACTGACAGCAAACGTCAGAATTTAAGCACATTGAAAAACCGCGTTTATTTCAACAAAATCGCACTTACAACCGCGATAATACAACCAATCGATAAAGAAAGGTTCCCTTTTCCGAAAACTCGACATTTTTTTGCGAAAAATGTCCAAAAACTGAGGGATTCTTTGAAACATAGACGGAGCAGAACCCGAACATGTTGCTTTGACAATGACAACTGCACTACTGACCGATACTGATGCAAATTGGACGCATGGGGGCGCTGCTTACTCAGAACAATTTAAAAATCCGGGTTTCTAGCTCTATATCAGGTTTTAAAAAATATTAACTCTGATCCTGCGGGAATTTTCCTCAAATCTTTTGATTTTTCAAAACCGGCAATTGAATTTACTCAAAAATCATCAAAAAGTAAAAATTGCCTCCATGTCCAGCTGAACGATGAAGTCAATCTATTTCAACGCAAATTCACCAGTGAAGTGAAGAGGCTGAATGAGATGGAGAGACAACTCAGGTACATCGAAGCGGAGATTAAGAACAGCGAAATCCCCATCCAGGATCTGTCTGAAATGCCCAAAGCCCCAAATCCGCGAGAAATCGTCAACCTGGAGGTAAATCGCCAGCGGCTTGAGGCGAAGCGGTTTAACATGAACCTTCTGCAGGCCCACTTGGAGAAGACCGAGCAAGACATTCGCAAAATGTCAGCAGCAGGCGCCACTTTGAAGAAGGAGTACATCGACTGCATTCATCAAAAATACGTCCTGCTGAAATCCCAGGCGTTTTTCCACCAGCAGGAAGAGGCCCTCAACAGCGACTACCTACCCGAAGAGCTGAGGCATGCCTCCCAATTAGGTTCTAGCCCCATTCACCAGCCYCYCCMTAGCTAATCTAGTCAATTCCAGGCTTCATTGCTGGGGTGGCCAACAAAGACAAGCTCTACCCGTTGGAGCGGCTTCTATGGCGGATTAGTCGAGGAAACATCCTCCTGCGCCAGGCAGACATCGATGAACTAATCGAAGATCCGATCACGGTGAGCCCAATCTTCAACTGCTACTCGGACGGGTCTTCATACTCAACTTCCAGGGCGTTGAGACGAGGAAAGCCGCCTTCATTGTGTTCTTCCAGGGCGAGAATCTCGCCACCAAAATCCTGAAAATTTGCAGCGGATTTAAAATTACCATCGTAAACGTTCCTGCTGATGCCGCTTTAAGGGACGGTCTGGTCAAGGGCGTGGCCGCAGAAGTGCTGGACCTGAAGATGGTGATCAGCCAAACTGAGGACCATCGCAGGCGGATTTTAGGTACCGCAGGCCACTTTGCGGGTTGAGTTTGCCTAACTTTTCCAGTTGGATTCCAGTGTCTGTGGCCAAGGAGATCCAGAGCTGGATCATCATCGTCTACAAGATGAAGGCCATTTACAACACGCTCAACATGTTCAGCCAGGACATCAGCAGGAAGTGCTTGATTGCTGAGGGCTGGGTGCCCAAGAAGGATCTGGTTTTCGTCGCCCGGGCCTTATCGGAGGGATTTGTAGGTTGCCTGCTTGGTGTTGGCTCAGATTGAGACTAGAGCTGGTTTTTCAGGACTCAGGCGGAAGCTCAGTAGCGTCGTTTTACAACGTGTTGGACACCCAGACCACTCCTCCAACGTTCAATCGAACCAACCGCTTCACCCAGGGGTTTCAGAACCTGATTGCTTCCTACGCCTTCTCCTCCTATAGGGAACTGAATCCAGGTTGGTAACTGCTTTGGGAATAGTAGGCCTGGATAACACTGTGTTGAGTTGTTGCCGCTCTCTGAGTTAACGAGTTTTGACTCATTGGTTAATGAGTTATAACTCACTGGCCGGTGGCGGAATTTAACGTCGGACAAGCCATCAACATATTGCTTTGGCGCATACGATCGTCAGTGTTTTTAAGTGAATCTCTGAAAATTGAGCATTTAGAAACAAGAAAAAAGACAAGCTAAAACTGAAAAATTCTAAAATTTTGAAGAAATGGTAAAAATATTATTGATAAATGGCCCTTAAAATGAATCTAAAAACAAGTAGAATAAGTAATCAACATTTTCCCAGCAACAAAACTGAGTTACTGCGCCGGTGCGTTGGGTTGGCGCACCAAGCCATTTGCGTAGCGCCAACTCCTAAAAATCCTCTGAGCTACCCAGGCCTATTCAAGTAGGCATGGGCAACACTGTCTTGAGTTGGGTTTTTGTGCTGTTGCCGCTCTGAGCGCTAATGAGTTATAACTCATCCCGTGTCACTGCGCCGCACTGAAATATTCAGAAAAAAATGTAAATTGCCACATTAAAAGATAAAAGTATTCTTCGCAGGCAAACACTCGGCTTAGATATAGTGTGAACTTAATTCCGATTGAGCTCTTTTGGCTACTTGCACAAGCCTTACCTTTTTTTTTCGAAAAGGTGTATGAATACGCAGTTGGCTACCGACAGTGTCGTGTGAATCGCGTTCTTAGATGGAAAATATAGAGTCATTGTGGCCCTTACTTGTTGAGAATTAATGGGTAGAAAATGGAGGATGGGGCCCCAGTTTGCAGAAAGCTCTCTAATCTATAACGGTTTTAGCTTGAAGTGAGTTTAATTTTCCGATCAGCAACTGAAGTTTTATGGATTCTTTATATTTATCTCTTTTTAAGATAAATACGAGGCGTTTTGAAGGATTTTAAATTTTTTGGAGAAATCGTCCTCCAGCCTTAGAAAAATTTCGGTGAAAACTGAAAATTTATCTAGTCTATTTAATAGATATCTATCTAGTTTAATAATATATTTTAATAGAAAATGATTTGATTTTTGCTCCGAATTCGACGCTGGAAAGGGATTGCAAAACTTTTTTGAAAGCCACCAAGTTCGCAATTTATTTCATAATTTTTCGCGGAAAATAAGATTCTCAGAATTTTTAAGTGAAACTTTAGGAAATTGAGCACTTAGAATAATGAGTAACTTGACTAGAGCTGGAAAATTTTGAAATTTTGAAGAAATTTTAAAAATACTATTGATAAATAGCCCTTAAAATAAATCTTCAAACAAGTAAAACCAGTAATCAACATTTTCCCAGCAAGGCAACTGAGTTACTGCGCCAGTGCTTTAGGTAGGCGCAGCACTGCGCCAACTCCTAAAGCCTCATTGAGTTACCCAGGCCTAGGGAACATTCACTACTTAATCGTTTTTGCGCAGCACTCTACACCATTATCACGTTTCCCTTCCTGTTTGCGATCATGTTCGGCGATTTGGGGCACGGGGTGATCGTCACCTGCTTTGGAATCTGGATGGTTTTGTCGGAGAAGAAAATTGCCGCCCAGAAGGGCAAGAACGAGATATTTTCCATATTTTTCGGCGGCAGGTAAATTTCCATTGCTCCCCACCGCAAAGGCCCATGTTTTGTGCCGTTGCAGATACATCATACTGCTGATGGGCATTTTCTCGATGTACACTGGGTTTATCTACAACGACGTGTTCTCCAAGTCGATGAACATCTTCGGCACCAAATGGAAAGTGAACAGCACAAACCTGAAGCAGAGCGGCATTTCGTTCTTCGAGGATAACGACACTCTGGTGTCTTTGGTGCCGCTCTACAGCTATGCAGGATCGCCGTACTTTGCCGGATTGGACCCCGCTTGGCAGGTATGGCAGGGTGTAGCTTTGTGGGTCCAGGGGCGGATCCAGCTTNGGGGGGGGGGTTATGTAGAAAAAATACAGTCTTCTGTTATCTTTGAAATTAGAAAAATGATCGTCGTTTTGTGCAAGGGTGGCGCAAGATTATTGCAAAATTTCATGTTTTCCGTCCCGTTTTGCATGTTTCTCGGAA